GTTTATTTTATCCTGAGCAGACAGAGATGGGGAGAACTCAAAACATATTTTAAGAATGAATCAGCTGGAGTTCAAATCCAGGCTGGAGAAGTGAGCAGCTCCTCCTGAGTGAAAAGAAATACTATTGTGAAGCAAAGGAAGATTAGGAGGATTAAGTGTCACATGTGGAGGATCTGGAAGTGGATTTGTTTTTTATTATTGAGGGTGTATTTATGAGTTAATTGTATGGGGATCTGGCTCATTTGTTTTTTTCTAAATTGAGATGAGCCAGAATGTCTCTGGGGCAGGAGAAACTTGTGATGCTTGTGAGGATGTGTATTACTTGTTTCAGTATTATGCATTTGCAGCTGATAGTCTTGAGAAAGAGATTATGACTTATAGTCTCAGAAGGAATTAATTGTTACTGACATGTTAGCTATATTAATAGTTACAGTGCTCTCTTTATCCACGTGACTGTAATTTCTACACACATTCAAACTGTTTTACTAGTAATGCTCAGCATTTACAAAGAATTTTAAGAGGTTCAAAGCAATAGCTAAAACAATTGAGTTCTTTCCAAAAACATGAGTTACATATAGAATAGGGCTGTCAAACCTTGAAATTCATTTATTTTTCCTTTTTGAAGAAATAGAAAAAAAATTCAGCTTTGTTACTGGTAACCTCTTTTTTACAAGAAACATAGCTCACTTTTTATTAAATTATAGAAAATATTATTAAATGTCCAATGGAATTAAAGCTATGAATCTCAGATTATTTTATTTCTTAAAGTTCTGTGCTAGCTTGCTTTTCTAGAATGACAATAAATCTGTGAATAATATAATCTTTGCAATAAAATAAATTATACACATAGTACTGCTATTTAGATGTGAGGCAACACAGAAGCTTTAGAAATCACTTATTAAACCAAAGATTTCTGAGTAATTATAAATGAGGGCAGGAAAGTAGAGAGGAGAACTCAGATTACGCTGTTTCTAGTTCTGAGCTAATAATGAGTAACAGAATTAATTCCATGTGAATTTGGATTCACTTCTAAGTGTACGAAAAGACCATATGGTACAGTATCAACATAAGACAATATTGTTTGAAGTTCAACAGAAGAGGCCAGATATTTCGTCTGAATCCACATGGAAAATAAAATTGTCAACTGTTCATATTACTCAGGCCAAGAAATACTTTCATCCAAATCCCCACTACTATCATTATAATCAGCACAACAATCAAGAAGAGCCCTTACTGAAGCGAGAACCAAATAGACATATTTAGCTTTGGGATATGGAAAGAAAAAGACTTCTGCAAATTTTACTTTAGTGCATACTTCCTTTTTTCTACATAAAATTCAGTTTCCTGTAAAATGGAAGTTGTAAACTCAGCTTCACTTAAAATTTAGGCAATTTTCAAAATATTTTAGGTCAAAATAAATTGTCTGAGAGAAGCATTTCAACATTTATCCAAGAAAGTAGTCTTACTAGGTCTATGGCAAATTTAATTATTCCAATGTTTCCCAGGTGGGCAGCATGTACAAAATTCTGTACAATATTAACAAGTGTTAATCAAAAGGAGTTTGAATACTGTTAGATCAGCTTATGATGAGATCTCAACTTTTTTCATATCCAGATACAAGCTGTCAGTCTATGCATTAAATCTACTGAAGTATATGTTGAAATACAGCCACAAGATGGAAGAGCATCCCAGACAGAGCCAATGTGAGCAGGTAGGAACACATAATGCATCTTTCGAGAAACTGTAAGGAAATTATGGGGCTGCAGGAGATAAATCTGAAAATGGATGCAGGAGCCAAATTGTGGACATTTTGAATGACAGACTAAGTATCTCAGAATGTTTTAAAAATCAGCCATCAGCCACTGAAGATTTTCAAGGAGGGAAGTGATAATTTAAATGTACTAGTTTGGGAAGATTGATCTGGTTGTAAATGGATAGGTTGGTGTGAAGCAGGGAAAATAGTGGATGCAGGTAGTCCACTCAGCAGACCCTGGCAAAGAATCAAGAGTGAGATTAAATATGAATGGTGAAAAGAGAGTGCAAAATGAAGAATGAGAACAAGATCTACTGCTAAAGAAGAAAGAGGAATGAGATACAGTTTCAAAGATTTTTAAGAGTTCCCCAAAAGAATGATGGTGACTTTAGTGATCACAGTGAATCTTTTGCAGCTTCTCTGTGTGTGGGTCATGCTTTCTAATTGCCCTCCATGCCTTATTATAGGTTTTCTACCATAAAGGACCTACCATTCTTGGTATAGTAACATGGTTAACTTGTAATTCATTCTTCAAGAATGCTAGCTCACTTGTCATCTCCTCTTAATTTTTTTATGTTCTCTTAGTATCCTAGATATACAATTTTAAAAATCAACATATTTTAAAGATTGATTAATTTAGACTATAGGCACCCCAGGCAGATTATAGACTCCCCAAAGTTAGGGATCAAATTCCACAACTAGCACAGCAGCATGTAGTAGAAACTCAATCATTGTTTGAACAAGGAGCAGGTCTGGGAGTGTCAGAAGGCAAGTAAGCCTACAGAAAAACAGAAATGGGCAAATGTATGGAATATAAGGATTAAGGAAAGGCTGTTTTATCAACATGTTGAAAAGCCAATGGAAATAATATTGAAGAAGGTGAAAAAAGAGAAATCGATGAGGCAGAATTCCAGAGTGTAAGGCAGGCTATGGAATGCAGATGGAGAATTCATCCCCTGGTAGTCTAATATTTTCTACAGTTTTCAAAAGAGCCTCATATGTCTCCATTTCCTCACCTTAGTTTCTTGTGTTCCCACTCTCAAGAATGCCCTCCATCTTGAGCCTCTATTTCAACATTTACTTATGCAAGTTGGAAGCACAGACCAAATATCGCTATCGCGTGAGCCCTTGCCTGGTCACTTATTTCTCTGAATCCCCAGAGTGATTTTTTTTCTTAATATGCAGTCTGAAGAACACCTACATAAAGTTCACTTTGGGTGATGCTTTGAGAAGTTTATCTTCATAGACATAGTCTATCTAATAAATGACGAAAGAGTGATAACATCAGAATCATTTTACAACTCCAAATGAAGTAATGGATTTAAAGAAATGATCATCTATGGCTACAAGAACATTAGTGGAAAAAGGTTGGTGGGGTACTTAATGACGGATGAAGCCAACTGTACCTAAACCCACTGATCAAACTTAAAGTCATAAAAAGAAAGACAATTAGACATCATATACATCCTTATGGAAGGACACTCTCTAATATATTTTTGCAGAGAAAAAAAAATGAACCTGCATTTGACCAGATTTTATTTGTTACAACCAGTTTAAAGTAAATGCAGAAGACAGAGAAAACATGAAAACAGAACACTGGGTTGTATTCAGCAAAATCCTGAATGTGTGAAACAATCCAGTTTTTCAACAAATAAATTGCAAGGAGTAAAATTCAAATAGCGAGTGGAAGACTTATAGTTTAAATATATGTTAAAAGAAACTTAAAGACTTGTCAACCAAAATTGAGATATGTTTGAGTCTTGATTTCAACAAACCCAAATTTATAAATCATTTATGAGACAAATGAGGAAATAAGGTCATCCACTGACACCAGGATATTACTCTCTATTTTTAGGTAGGTTAATAGCTATGCTGTTTAAGCATCATTATACATCTTGAAATACTTTCAGATGAAATGATATGATGTCTGGAATTTGCTTCAGAGTAATGCACAAGGCAGCCGGGGTTGGGGAGTGAGTGGTGGGGCTATAAATGAAACAAGACTAATTGTTGCTGGTGTTGGATGGTAGCCACATAGTTCATCTTAATATATATTTGAAAAGTTTATATACTTTCTATTTTGTATCATTTTAAAATGCAACTTCCTGGACTCCACCTCAGAACTACTGGATAAAAAGGAGAGTATGAGAATCCGTATTATTAACAGGTTCTAAAGAGATGACTCTGCCCACTAAGCTTTGGGAATCACAGTCCTAAACAATTTATCCCATTGCTCTTGCTCTTGTCAGAGACATCCAGTCAATTATACATGCTTGTCATATCTTTAAAGATAGAAATTGAGTTTGTAACTCCCAAGGTGCTCAATAAATATTAGTGATGTGAGTCAAAATTGCTATTCACTGTGAGTAAACATTTTAAGTCTAGATTATACAAGACTTATCCACATATCCAATATATCAGGAGTATGCACTCTCTCAGCTCTTAGCAATAATCTTCTGGCCATGTGGAATTTTTTCTTAGTGGTATTTAGCACTCCTAATTCCTAAAGGGCCAATATTCTTATACCTCATGCAGCAAGGATAAAATCTAACAGGATGAGAACAACAAAAACCTCCTCTTTCACAGACTGATGGAAATAGGGAATATTAGCATCAACATGTAGAAACCTAAACTGATTATATATATATATACACACATATATAGATAAAAAAATATATATATGGCATTTTAAGAAAAATACATGAAATGTGAAATGTTTATATCTGCCATATTCCTGAACTTTGCCTTTGTCCAAGTTTTTCTTGCAATGATTCATTTATTAAATAACCACCTTGACTCTCCTAAAAGGGTATTTTTGGGAAAATGTAACCTTTTATTGAGAATTATTTTTCCCAAAGTATTCCCCAAATCTTGGAATTCTTGAAAGAACTCTATAATAGATTCTGTCCTAGTACTGGTCCAGTGTTCTAGTTCTTCTACTAATTAGCTTGGTGGTCTTAAATCTGGCACTACTTTTACTGGGTCCTGGTTTCCCCATGTATATAATTCTAAAATAAATGTCAAACTACTCCTGGATCATCTGTAAATTAATCCAGTTTTATGCTACTTCTAGAAAAAAGCATTTCACCTAAAATTTAAATAAAAACCACAATCCTTCAAGAAAAAAGATAAAAAATGGTTTTATCTCAGCATCTTAGATACAGATAAATAAGGCCAAATGCATTCATTCTGTTCTGAAGGTAAAAATCCAGGATTATGAAAATAGATTCTTCCCACTTTGACTTACCTGTTTATGAGCATGATCATAAGAATTAATATGATTGTCAAACTCCTGATGTTTGTGATACTGCTTGTCACATAATTCACAGTAGAAGTTTGCCTTCACATCTTCCAGGGCCTTTGCTGTTGACTTCTCCTTTTCTGGAAAATCCTTCAAAAAAAAAAAAAAAAAAGGGCAAACATGTTGGTTGTACTTCTCTCTAGTAGCATAACCAAATCTCATATTAATCAAGTTGGTATTTAATTTTTTACTGATTGAAAGAACATGGTTAGGCTCAGTACCTTTTAGAAATTCATGGCACTATGGAAGTAACTTTCAGCTCGGCCTTATCCCTAAGTTACTGATAGACACAAAGTGACCTATCCCAAGGGAGCCCTCAGCTGCAGGCTGGTCCTTAAGTCATCCTTCTCGCCACCAGATGTGGTTCTGCTGACTCACTCAACTGGAATACTCACCACCATTTTTTCAGCCTATCCAATGATCCATCTCAAACATCAGAACTCTTCTCTGCTATAATATTTTATTAAGATATTGATTGTACTGTTTTATGTCACTCACCAACTGCTTCATGTATTTTAGCCTCTGTGAGATCATCAGTGTTGGGACTTACTACTCTCTCTTCACATAATGCATTTTCCCACCTTGTGAAACTGGTGAGCTGATACTCCTTTCCCAACATGCAGCTCTTTGGCTCACTCCGGGAAGCCTTTTCCATGACATTTCTAGGAGGAGAAAGCCTCCAATGTGCTGCTTATTACCAAACACCTCTATGACCATTCCTACTTTGTCTCCATCATAGATATTTCTTTCTTTGATATTATCCCTTACATTTTTGTACTGCACACAATTGCATCTTCAGCCAACTGATTTATCCCCTCCACACACAATCCCTGCATGACCCCGTTCACACTATATTTAGAGCCTTATTTATCCATAATTTCTAATTCCAGCCTAAGCTGCTTCTACAAGAATCCACTCCTGCTAGACGCTGCCAACGGTTAAGCTTACGATTTTGACTATTCTCTATCTCCAACAAAGTTTTGGCCACATCATTCCCCTGCTTAAAATCCTCTTGAATTCTCTCATTGCCTATAGAGTAATAGTGACAAATGCTTATTTAACATAAACTATGTGCCAGGTATTCAGCTAAGTATCTGAATTATTTCACTTACTCCTCACGTAAGTTCTGTTTTAATCTGCATTTCATAGCTGCATCAACCAGCACTCAGAGAGATCACACACTTGTGGTCACTGAGTCAGCAAAGGGAGAAAGCGATTTAAATTCAAAGAACCAATGCCTAGCTCCCTTGTTAATAAACAGCTGTGCTTTACCACCTCTCTTTAAAGCCAATCCCCTTAATATACCATGCAAGCTCCTTCCTGCCTCATCAGGGTCAACTTACATCTATCCATGCTCCCACGTTACCTCTTTAATTCTATTACTAGACAGGCCACATGGTATTAAATGATCTGTTTTCATGTCTATTTCTCCCATAAATCCTTTAGAGGCAGAAACCATTTTACTCTTTTTGTGTCCACGTGCCAAATGTATTGTCTAGCCCAGAATAGGTGCTTATTATGCATTACGTAAATTGATAATGGTGGTTTACATATTCATGCCTCCTACCATTGTGCAAGTTCTCTTTTATCCCATTTATCCCAGTGCCCAAATAAAAGAATCACTGGCACATGGAGGATACCAAACAAATATTCATGAAGAATGGATCAACAAAATAAAGAAGGGATATTAGCTTTGTTTCCCCAAAATGACTAACCTTCTATAAAAAGAAATTAAGCCTTAAACCTGAATCATAGGGGCATCACAGCTCAGACAAAATAGCAAGTCCAGGGAATTTCGGCAGATTCTCACAAGACTGGGTGAAGGGAGGGGGCAATTAACTTAGACGCAGGAACATGATGATCCAAGCCCAAATATGAGTCTTAGCGTGCACGGCAAAAAGCAGGAAGGACGTGAGTAACATTAACAAAGAGCAAACTAGACCAAATATCTGGATTGCCTATCTAAGAGAGCTGAAGTAGAAATCTGGTTACATTCTAAGCTAATGGGGCATATAAAGCTACTCGACAGGATGCATCCAATAACAAGAATATGGACACTGATTTCAAGACAAGAACCCAGTTGTTCAAAGAACTGAGATAATGCAATCACATGATAGAGCAGTCTCGCACTGAAGTAGACCAAATCTTTTGAGGTACTATGCTTAGAATCAGGAGGAACCATTATTTTTCATCCAGTCTTTCTAACTAAGAATTTGTAATGCCTTTTCTTAGTATCATTAGAGGGACTGAAATGGAACAAAGGACTACTTTGGTTTATACATAGTTGCTCTTCCTTTATTATTTTTTGAACCTCCAGGCTCAAAAATGCCTGTTTCATTAGCTGGCATGGATGACAACTGAGAATTCAGGGTGAATCTATGGTTTCAAATGTATTTTCATATTATTTCAGACGATGTAGAGGATTTTAGGACAATAGCTCAATGGCCAGGAGTGGAGCTTCTTGAGTTACTCCTGGTATCTACATCAAAGAATCTTTTATTTCTAAAACATTTTTAATTATGATACTGTATGACTCTCAATGAAAAATGTTATAATTATAAAAGAGTTCTACCAACATTTGAGTCACATACAGTTTCTTATACATGTTCACATTTGACAGTCATCAGATTAAATTACCCCATAATGATATGCACTAATAAGGGCAAATCCTTGTCCCCTTAAGAGAGGAAGAATGCACAGGTGGAGTATAAATGCTATTAGCAAAACATACAGAGATTCCAATCCAGTGTGTCCCCCAAAGCCAGAAGTAAACATACAAACTCTAGCAGGTACCTATGGAGTACAAATGGGGAAGCTGAGACCTGAGGGTAGAAATCTCGGGCAGAGGAGACTGCAAGACAAGAGTTGGGTAGGGACAGAGGAATTATAAAGGACAAGAAAAAAAGAATTCCTTAAGAATCTTTGACAAAATCTGAAACTGAGATTAGAGCTGGAGCTGACTTTTGGTAAAAGAACCATAACCTAGTGGTCCATGATATTACTCAGTATAAGGTAGACCTGCTCTCATGTGAAACTGGACTAACTATACAGATGGAGCTGAGCTGGTCCAGCTGGATGCGCCAGAAGGCTGGAGGGTCTTAGACTAATAGGAGGGATATCATCTAGTCTAATATTACCATTTAGCAGAAGAGGCAACTGATGTTTAGTAATTTTGTGATTTGAATAAAATTATGTAATGGTACAGGAGGGGCACACTTTCCATTGTCTCATGCTGCCCAACCATTCATCCATTCATCTAACCATAAGTCCATCCACTAACCAGTAAGCATTTCTTCAGTCAAGATTATCTCTTATTAAGCAACTTGTAATCATCAATTTCTTATTAGGTCTTTACCTCAGAGTTTCCACAGTCTAGCAAGGCAGGATTACACATAAAGAGGCAAACTCTGTCAGTTGTGACACAGTAATAATTATTAGTTGTTACAGAGTTTAGCGAGCTCATACTAGTTAAGAATAATTGAATAAAGACAGGTTTATTTGTTTTTTTCTCTCTCTTTCACATATAGCACCGCATACACTGTAAGCTCCCAGAATTTTTTGCCCTTTTGTTGAATGGCAGGATACTTTTACTGGCCAAATAACCTTGAAGGCAAATTAAGATGACATTTATTCTCTGAAATAATTACACAATCTTTAAATATATTCACAGACATGGAGTAAACATGAAAAGAGTAAAAACAGCCACTTATTCTCAGTATTAGTAAATTTTAAAAAGTAAAAAAAAATGAATAAAATGCATAATAATGCATTAGACATATAAAAGTTGACATATAACTCTGTCATTCATTTGCTAGTTACACAAATTTCCCTTCTCACAGTATGCCTAGAAGAGGAGGCTTTGGAAGTGTACTTGACAGGAAAAAATAACATTTATGAAATAAAAGAAAACTGCTTGCTAATCATTCTCAATGGTTCATTAAAAGGTTGAAAATGAATTATAAATTAAATTTGGCAGTTATCATAATGAGTCATTTCTAAAACATTAGGCATTGCCAATGGGCATTTTATGTTGCAGCTCAGTAAGAATTCCGTAGTAATTAATTGCTTTTCATAATTAATATTTTGGGTGCAAGGAGAGAAAACGTACTCTTTCACACCAATAATTTTGTATCCAGGCATATAACAGGTGTGTCTGTTAAGTGGCAAGTATTCTGACTAGAGTAATGCATTTAATTAGAAATATGGATGTTTGCTACCAAATTATTGCTGTGAGGATGCTTACCCACTAACGCCCATTGTGCTCTCAGTGTAAAACAGAAATCTGCCAAGCATTTCACGCTTGTTAACTCCCTTGATCCTCATGACAATGTTATGAAGTAGCATCTCTTATTACCCCATATAAAGACATGGGAGGCAAGGCACAAACACATTTAGAAACTCACTCAACGCTGAAGAGCAAAGACTAGATTCAGACTCAGATCTGCCTGACTTCAGAGCTATTAATCACCATTCTCATGGCTGCCCTAATTACTTAGCCTTTATTCAGATGCCATGTGATTCTGAGCTGTCTTAGCTAAATTTTTTGTAGATTTGGAATGATACAAAGCCTCTAGCTCCCAGAGAGAGTAAGAGGACTAATTATAATTTTAAAAATCTATAAACCTCTTGAAGCTGAGAGATAGGCAGTAGGAAAATACAAGGTGGTAGTCCTGTTTCTACTGGTTCTGAATACGTGCCCTGATGATTGAAGAAGAGAAGAAATCAATTGCTGTTCTTCGTATCTCCCTGACGGTAATACCAGCTCAGAGCTTTGAGGATTGAATTCATATTCTTCATTGGAAAGTTCACATTTGACCTTTCACTGTTACGTGTAAGAGACTGCTTTAAGAATTCTAATATTCTCTAACCTGTTCTGTGATATTGGCCCCCAAATAAAATCCTGCTTCAGAGAGAGTGCATTTTCCTCCTCCTCTGATCAAGTGGTTGTCACTGATTCAAAAAAGAAAAACCTGTTTTGGTCCCCACTGTCTTCCTGCATCCCTGTACTAGACTGGGTAATGGGAAATTTGCTTTAGATGGTTTTATTCCTGTATTTATTTTTGTGATAGGGAAAATTTAGTTTTTGAAGA